GAGTCCCCCACTCTGGGAAAAAGCTTCTTTGCTATCCACCCTGTCTATACCTCTCATGATTTTGTAGACCTCAATCAGGTCCCCCCTCAACCTCCGTCTTTATAATGTAAATAATCCTAATCTACTCAACCTCTCTTCGTAGCTAGCACCCTCCATACCAGGCAACATCCTGGTGAACCTCCTCTGCACCCACATCTGGGAACCAGAACTGTACACAGTATTCCAAATGTGGTCGAACCAAAGTCCTATACAACTGTAACATGAATACAACTGTAACATGTTGTTGGAGATGCATCCATCCAGGCAAGTGGGGAGGATTCCATCAGACTCCTGACTTTTCCTTGAAACCCATGGGAGATGAATTACCTGCTCCGCTCTCGTAGGCACTGTATCTATATGGCCTCTTCATTTGTAACTGCCAGCATTTTGCTAGTGGGGATTCAGCAAAGGTAATGCCTTTGAATGTCAAGGGAGAATATTAGACTTGCTCTTGTTGGAGTTGGTCATTGCCTAGCACTGGTGTGCCCTAAATATTACTTGTCACTTGTCAACCCAAGCCTAGAGATTGAAGAGGCGCAGCGTGGTGGCTCAGTGGTTGGCGCTGCTGCCTCATAGCGTCAGGGACCCGGGTTTGATTCCAGGCTCGGGCGACAATCTAGGTGGAGTTAACACATTCTCCCTGTATCTGCGTGGGTTTCCTCTGGGTGCTGCGATTTCCTCCCACAGTCCAAAGATGGCCGGTTAGGTGGATTGACCATGCTAAATTGCCCCATAGCATCCAGGAATGTGCAGGCTAGGTGGATTAGCCATGGGAAATGCCGAGTTACCGGGATAGGGTAGGAGGTTGAGTCTGGATGGGATGCTCTTCAGATGGTCAGTGTGAACTCGATGGGCTAAACGGCCTCTTTCTATACTGTAGGGATTGAGAACCATTATTCTTGTATGAACATCTTGTTGAATTTGAACATGGGGGACTAACTACTTCAGTGTCTATGGATCATGGATGGTGCTGAAGAATGTGCGATCGTCAGTGAGCCAAGGTCCAGAGGGTGAGAGCTGAGTCTGATAGGGAGCGAGCTGAGTCTGCTAGGTCAAGGTCCTAGGGAAGGTGATTCAACAAGAGTTGCCATTGACTGAATGTCAGACCTTCCGCCAGATCCCAGAGTTCCATCTGCTGGATCAACGGGCAGGGTGCCATCCAGGGGAGGAGGTGACTTCGAAGAGTTTGGGTTTGGATAAGCAGGATTCAAGAGGGGAAAGGAAATGTAGGCTGTAGGAGGATGTGGATGGGAAAAGGAGGCTGCAAGTAGGATTGGTGTGGAAAAAGGAGCTGTAAGAGGTTTGAGAGGGAGAAGGAAGCTGCAAGAGAAGACTGGGGAAAGAAGCTGCAAGTTGATAGAGTGGAAAAAGGGCTGAGAGAGGTTTCTGGGGTCAAGAAGAAGATTGCAAAAGGGATGAGGGGTAAAGGGAGGCTTCACAGGATGATTTCTAAACCTGTCAAAAATAGAATGCTCAACTAACAGAGATCCAAGACAACTTCCAAACACTGAAGTAGGAATTTCCTTGCAAATAAATCTGGAATATCTCATTTAGGGTTGCATGAATTCATCAGGAGCTATGATACAAGGGATAAATGCAGTGGATTATACTGTAATCAACACCTTCACTTGTTACATTTACACCTGAGCATAAATGCAGAGATGCAGTAAATTGAGTTGAAACTGCCTAAGTAAAATGTTCTAACTTTGTGTACAGACAGTCCCTGGGTTGCAAACAGGTTCTATTTTGGAGTATGTTCACAAGTCAGTTTGTGCGCAAGTCGAAACACAGTGCAGGACAATATAAAGGAGCTGTTCATAAGTAGAGGAAATGTTTCTATGTCAGGTCTTTAAAATTACACTCTTGTAAGAGAGTGCATTTGTAAGTACAAGCGTTCATAAATCGGACATTCATAAATCCAGGACCTCCTGTATTTACAACAGAAATCCATAAATTGTGACCTCATCAGTTTTAAAAAGTGCATTCAGGGTGATGGCTTTTTGTATGTAGAACTGTGTGTCAATTACTTTGAAAAAACTTTTATTACGTTACATCTATTATCTTGTATCAATTTAACTGCTCTGGCGCCAGGGAAATTTTTGTATTATTATTCTTACACAGCATGTGGGCATGACTGGTAAGGCCAGCATTTTTGTACATCCCTACTTGCATCCCTACTTGCCCTTAAGCTGATTGGCTCTCTAAGTCATTTCAGAAGGCAGTAAATAGTCAACAACATTCCTGTAGGCCAGATGGGTAAGGACGCTGGATTTCCTTACCGAAAGAATATTAGTGAACTCGTGGGGTTTTATATCACTTAGAGAATGAATCTGATACAAATTTGACCAAATGAATCTTGCCAGGAATTCATTATCTCCGCCTTCCTTTACCTCATGCCTGCACCTTGGACCCAGCAAAAGGCACATCATCTCAGCATTCATGGATGCTTTTCTTGTGGGCTGTAGCTTCAAGTTGAATGGAGAGGTGACAGTTATTTATGATATTGATCAATTATTCTAATTCTGCTTGTGTTTGACTTTAAATACCGCAAATATCAACACAAGTACAGAAGGTGTAACAACCACAAGAAATAGGAGCAGAAATAGGCCATTTTGCTCCCTGAGCTGCTCCACTATTCAATAAAGTCATGGTTGATCTGTCTGTGTTTAAAATTCCACATTCCCAAGCAGCCTTTACGCTGATTTTCTTTCCACCTGTTTGGGCCTCTGAGATCCATGTGCAGCAGGAAGTTCCTGAATCGGAAATCAATTCCATGATCACATACCAACGCTGATCATGGCACACGGAAGCTTAGTGTGGCTATGTGCAGCTTAGATGGAGTGTTGCCATGGAGTCATAGAGTCATACAGCTTGGGAACAGACCCTTCGGTCCAACCAGTGAATTCCGAACATAATCCCAAACTAAACTAGTCCCACCTACCTGCTACTGGCCCACATCCTTCCAAACCTTTCCTATTCATGTGCTTATTCAAATGTCTTTTAGATGTTTTAATTGTACCCACATCTAATAATCTTGGGTTCCCTTGCCCAACATGAATCTATCCATCGTTGTCTTGAAAATGTACAATGACCCCCAACTCTACCCAATTCTGAAGAAAAGATTCCAAACTTGCACAATCCTCTGTCAGTGTGTTTGGGTGATGGCTGCCTCTGGGGTTAAGTGCAGTCATTGAGGGGACCGTGCGAGCTGGAATGCTTCAAAGATTTATCTGTCAAAGTATCCAAAAAAGGCATTTTCCAACCTCTTTCTGTTCTGAAAAAGAATCATATTGGGTTCAAAACATTAGGCTCTGTTTCTCTGTTCACAGATGCTGCCAGACCTGCTGAGTTTCTCCAACATTTTCTGTGTTTGTTTCAAATTTCCAGCAGTTGCAGTACTCTGCTTCTATCAGAGATATGCGTTTGTGTGTGTGTGTGTGTGGGTGTAGGTGTGGGTGGGTGAGGGGTAGTGTCAGGATTTTGGAAGTGAGTCCTGAGTGTCATGGTGTGGTACTGAGGTAGTTTTGATACATTGAGCAGTGTAAGAGGTATGTGGTGTGGAACATATGTGATGTGAAGATTTAAACACTCAACTTTGACCACCTAGTTTATTAAAATTCTTCTGGCCCTGCTGCCATGTCATGGTACCAGACTTTAGGCATTGACTACCTTGCAACATGTTCTCATTCCCTGCCCATAGTCATTCTGGAGGACCGCTTGCTCTGTTACAGTAGCATTTTTTAAAATCTGTTCAGCCACAGGATGTGGGCATTGTTGGCTAGGGAAGCATTTAGTGGCCTCTTTCCTGGCCTTTCACAGCTACTTTCCCAGCTTCAACGTCCTGTATCCAGATAGCATTGCTAAATCTAGGAGTTGTCTCCATTCCTTGCAATGACATGGCTTTTCATTGAGTAATCAAAAAAAGTATCTAGCAGCCTGCTGTGGATCACTGTAATTTCCCCTTTTACCTGAGCTGGGCTTTTAAATAGGGAAGGCTGTCTAGAAATCATGCTTCCTACTACTCTGCCCTTGGAGTGTGCAGAGGATATCTGTGCCAATATAGACACCTTGGACCAACCCTTTCACTTGTCACAATCATGGAAATGAGGTAAGTTTGATGAATGCTATGTCACACTCACCCAGTTCCATTGGATATGGGCATGCCAGTAACCATAGTCCCCACATCCAAAAACTGAAGCAGTCGCAGCCCATACCCACTGGATCCCAGCTGCTCCAACAAGTTTCTATGAGGAGCAATTTGGAATTTAAAAAAAGTCTATCCACTCCACAAGCATTGTCAGGGTAGGAATTTCCTTTGCCCAGTCTAGTTTCACGCACAGGTAGCGTCATGTTCATAGTAATCACTTTTCAGGTATTGGTAACTCTGTGAGGTAGTTTGTTTCAAACAATGAAACACATTACAAGTTATAAAGCATACATTTACAGCCAACTGTCTAATTTCTGAGTGTGCAGCTTGCAGACCAACAACAGACTAACTGGCAGGCAGAGTCACAGCATTAGACACACTGTACATGGAGTGAACTGGTGAACTCTCTCAAAGGCAATGTACACATGTAACAGGCAGAACACCTGGCGAATATCCTATTCGCTGTCTTTGGGACTCACTTGAGGGTGCATGATTGTCTTGGCCTAGTTCCTAAAAAAGTTCTGTGTGGTCTCCTGTCTGAGAAACCCTTTTCCAGGGAGCATGTAGTCTTTACAAAAACTATATTGTAGTCTGCGACTGTGGCAAAATCAACAAGCTTCTCCAATGTTTCCTCCCTTGATGAATGAAACATCATCATTATCAGTAGCTAAAATAAGTTCTCAATCTACTGTCATTTTGTTTAAATGCAGTGAAACATTTTGAAAGTGATAAATTTATTTATCAACATACACTTATATTGGTTTAGTGATTATTAATGCTGGCTTTTTTTTGTTTTTCTTTCTTACTCATTTAGCACAATATGCCATTCTGGAGGATATCGAGCCACTCTGATCTGTTGGCTTTGAATCAAGCACTGGAACTGGAATACTTGTAGTTGCCTTGAGCAGTACAGCCAGAGATACAATGTTAACAACCTACATAGGAGTATATGAAGTTTCCCTCTGTGATCTGCAACACCTCTGGCTTCCACGTTTGTCTTAAGAAATGAAGAGATATGATTTGTCATGTGAGGCTATTGTGAATTCAAACTGCTGAACAGTGACTGGTACATTAAAACTCTGCATAAGGAACTATGTTGGTCTTAGGAAATATTGTTCATTATAGATAAAGTGCAAGTTGTGTGTATTTTACAACTCTTCAAGTGATTATACAATGCCCAGGATGCTTGAACAGCTTTTACAATGAACTAGTTCTTTTAAGAAACAAGAAGCTGCTACCAATGCATCCGGCATGAAGTTGTTCAACGGCATTCCTTTGCCATTGGATGTTCTCAATAATGCAGTGTTTTAGCAAACTTTAGTCTGCTTATCCAAGCTGAACCTGCATTTAAGGTGCACTGGGCTACATTGACAATCACATCTAGACCTGCAGTTTGTGTAACTTAGTTACTGTGAGAGCTTACTCTAAGTTAGCAGCTGTATTCAAAAATGTAATGCTTTTGTGGGGATAGTCACTTTTTGTAAAGCTTGACAAGGAGAATATACATAAACGATGTGCTGTGCCTTAAAATAAGACAGTGTTGGTGTGTTACAATGTAACTTCTGTTCCACAAATGTATAGATAAACTCTTTGTGATGATTAATTTTTTGAAATGACCAAATTATTAAAAGAATCAGAAATAAAAGAATTCTGCGTTGTGTAAGCAGAGAAGAATTGTTCCGGACTGTTGGTCTAAACAGGAAATTAAAAATTGGAGAGTTTTTGTCTTTTTACTTGGACTTTTAGTGTTTTATTGTAAATTACAATTCTTAATGATATCCAGGAGAAACATTTTAATTTAAACTGTGAGGTAATCTATTTTAGTCATTAAGAAACAGCTTGACACTTTTTGATATTATGCTTGTCTTTACCATTTCTGGGAAGTTTCTAAAAGAACTTTTGGTTTGGGCACTTATTTGATTTCATGCTAGTTCATATTTTCTTTAAATCTGAAAACTATAATACCAGGAATTCACTCACTTTATATAAGCTCTATCCCAATCCACGTCCTGTCTCCCCATTTGATGTATCTATGAAAAAGCGGATGTTTGGGTAAGGATTTTGAACACGTTTAAGGGCTTATTGCATCTTAGAAAGTGTCCAGTTTTCATTGACTAATTCATTCTACAAATTACATAAAGTGAAAAGTTATCTAACATCTCAACCTAACGTTGCAAATTTTTTCTAAGCCTGTATTGTAGTTCCTAATGTATAATACACCAATCAAATTCATTTTAATAACTTGTTTAAAGGATAGAGACCTTTAAATAAAGCTGATGTTAAAAGCCTTTAAACTAAGTTCGTCCTCTACAGAATAAATGCAAATGTTCATTATATATTTTTACAGCATATTGGCAGACAGGGGAAAGAAATCTTAAGGAAAAGGACAAGATTTTTTTTCAGTAGGATTGCATTATCACATACCAAAATTTTATTTTGTAATGAACTATTTTTCTAAGTATATAATTATGGCTTGTGCAGCAATCCAATTTTAGTTTTGTTATATGCCCCGAATACCATATTATAAACTTGTACATTTAATATCGTGTGCAATCAACATCTTCACTGTGTAGCATGGAAATATCCTTTATGTCTTTAAGCTGACTGTAACTCCTCCAAGGAAACCTGAGCACAGTTTCAAGAGTTAAAGTACTAACATTCTGATCTCTCCATCTCAACTCCCTTCCCACATTAGAAAAAGAGAAAAGCAAACTGCACACAATAGATTAGTTATTCTGTCAATATGCTGTAAATACAATTTGTCCTCAGCTCTGTGTGTGATTTACTAAAGGGTATATTCAGAGAATGCACATAACATTGATACGCCACTCTGATTTGTTAGACTTTCTTCCTACAGATTTCAATACTGGGGCTATGGAATAATAAGTATTGGCCACTCAGCAACATTTTAGTGGTAACAGTATACTGTTCATGTTTTTTTTATTTATTTTGATTGTGCTTTTTGAACATTAAAATCAAGTCTTGTGGAAATTTAAATGGCCCTGGGTTTCTTTGTAATATATTTAGTGTGAATTATCTGAAAATACATGTACAGAAACAGTCTTGATATCTCTGTTCAAAATGAATAAAACAAACTAATTTCAATGATTAAGGCAGTCTCAGTTTTTGGGACAACAAATGTCTGTTTGTAATGAGGACACAATAGGAAGCTGCCAGGAAAGTTTTGGATGTATTGAAGTTTGTGTGGGACAGATTGAAATGAGGGAGTGGGAACAATATACTGAGTACAGCATTGGAGAAGTTGAGTATGCAGTGACGTAGTACCAAGTGAATATTTCATCACGAGTATCTGAGTTAGGATCAGAGGTGCCAAATACTATTGGACGTGAAAATGGAAGTCATTGGTGATAGATTGGATTTGGTTTAGGGTAAACCTGGCACTGAGATTGCTCATCGATAGATTTAAGCAGTCAAGAAAGGAGCTAGAATACAGAATTTTAAATCAATTAAGGTGTGCTTTGTCATTCACAAACACCTCTTATGCTGTTAGCACAAGCTTTTGTAAACCCTGTTGTGAAACATAACCTTGTTTCAACAAAATATTTATAGGATAGATTTACCTAAATAAGTTCAGCAAGAAGAACGATAGAAATAAACGATGCAAACATCTACAAGAATAATTTTTTATACCGCTTCCCATTTTCTCCTCCACCCATGTTCTTCTTATAGAATGGACTCCCTACTCAGGATATAGTTTAAAGACCACCCTTTGGTATATCTTATCAAAAAGACAGTTTTCAAATGTAAGCTTAGACAATAAATGTTGGCTGATTTTTTTTTTTCACTTCAGGAAAGGCGGGAAAGGCCACCTGAATTCAATGGCTATCCTCACTGGTATCGACGTAGTCACACTTTTCTAGACGCTGTCAGAAATAGGAACACTAACTTTCCTTGTCCTAACCTACAACCAGTGGTGATGGCTGTTGTGACCCGAGATTAAAAACGCTGGGACCCTCCTGGTGTACTCACTGAAATGACCAGCTAAACCAAAGTGGGAAGAACAAGAAAACATTTAAATATTACATTTTTTTAAAAATCTTAAATGCAAGAAACTAATTTGAAATACAAAAGATGTTTTAGAGAATGGTCAGAGCTGTGTCAGATGCTCAGATGTAATTGCTAGTTTGTGAACCTCTTCAGATGTTATGTGTCTCGCAACATATTCCCAGTTTTAGTGTTATGTTAAACACAACACATTTATATTGAACAATCATTAAAACCCATGCTTTAGCACTTTCGATATGCTATCTGGTGGTCATACAAAAAATTGTCATCTCTATCTCCCTTATATAATACACTAATAGTACTGTACTGAAAAACATTTTTAAAAAGAAGACACATAAAGAAGGGTTAAAATTTGATAGTGATGTAAATAGAAGGAACAGTGCTATGTTAGAAGTTTCTATTAAATCAGAATTGCATGCTGTGGTGACAATCTATTTTATTTTGATTGTGACTGCGCGGGAGATGAAAAGATTACAGCTCTGATTCTGCTGTACTAATAATACTATGGCATCCATGCATACATATGTAAATACAGAACTCAGACATTGTTGTCGATGATACCCTGACTAAACTCAGGCTGCATTGTTTGAGAGTTCCCCAATATAATCTGCAGAGAAATTGCAAATGATGTAAATTTAAGGTAATTACTCACTAATCTTGCATTGAAAACAGATGAGAATGTTATGGCTAATTAATTCAAAAGTAAACAAGTTTTTAACAATAAAATTACTTCTGACAAACATGCCTGGCTCAGAAAAACATATTTGCAAATTTGACATCTCATTCCGTTAGAAGATTTTTTTTAACTAAATTAACCTTAGTTCATTTCCCATCACTATCTTTCTTGTTCTTTTGCTTCTTGATTTGCAGTCTGCATGTGTCTGTGAGGATTCTTTAATTGGTTGAGGAGGCTTGCTGTGATTTGCCTTCTCACAATCCACAGATCCCCTGTAGAGGGCACTGCATTGAGCTAGTAGCAGCATCAATAGAAATTACCGCTAACTCACCCGAAAACATTAAGTGAATGACAAATGCCATTTTCTGAGCCAAAATGTGTTGTATTTCATAGTGATGTAATCGGCAGATTGAAAAGTCCGAGAGTCACGAGAAAAAAAGCTTAATCTGGAAGTGGAAATTCCTTTCTGAAATTAAAGTTATTTATTTAATATTTTTATAGTAATGGTAATTGGTGGTTGCTCGAGTCTAAGCCAAGATGAGAAAACAAAAGTACTTAAGCTTTGTTATTATTCATGGAGCAATCAATAAGAATGTAACTCCTACAATACATTGGCCTTTACATTCAGTTGCACAGCACCCACTGTTCAGGAGCCTGCACACTGAGCCCCTAATTAATTTGTTGAAGAGTTATGGACAGCGGGCAGGAAAATGGAGTTGAGACCGGGATGAGATCAGCCATGATCATATTAACGGGCAGGCATGCTCAAGGGGCTGATATCCCTATATCTGCTCCTATTTTGTATGCTCTTAATATGGTGGGCAGGAAGAACATGTACATTTCAGTCTGCCATATTGCGTAATAACAAAAAAAAGGTTGGGAGGTCCCCTAAGCTGAAAAAGGTCATATGCATGTGTAACTAAGAGGCCAAAAGCCTATTCATGGCATTCACTCCAAATATGGTTTTTACCAGTGCCTGACAGAGTCATCTGTAGAGACCTGGGGAAAATTGCACTGTGCACTTAGCAAAGCTCCCAGTGGCTCTCCATCCCTTCATTCCATTCTGTGATTCAAATATCACCCTTATCCTGGTTTCCAATTCCTCCAATGTTTCTGCAGTCCCAGCACAAGGCCTAGGACAGGAGTTATGATTTTCCTATCTTAGGTGCCAGGTGACATCTGAAAAACCAGGTGGTGAGACCATCTCTTATGAAGAACTCTTACAGTTTGTTTTTGGCATGTACTAAGCTGAATATGAAAGTGAGAGGAGCTGGAGGACTGTCAACCAAGTGTTTTAAAGAGCACAAGTGGCAACATGAACAATCTAATAAGGGGTTCTTCCACCAAACGGTGCCTTGTACTAATCATCCTTTCCAAATGAAAGCTAGTAAAATAACAGCTGTAAATAAATAAAATACCTATGAATCCATGTGATATGTATACAATCATCCTTATAGATGCACCAGCAACTTCCTCAGCAGGTAAGACAAGGAGTACAAAAATAATTAAAGGACAAAACTTTAGGCTTTGTATTTGAATGTACATATCATTCAAAACAAAACAGATGAACCAGTAGTACAAATTGAGATAAATAAGTATGAGGTAGCGGCCATAACTGAGACGCGTCTGCAGGATGAACAGGATTGGGATCTGAGTATTGAATGGATTATGACATTTAGGAAGGATAAAAAGCTAAGGGTGGAGGAGTAGCTCTGTTAATTAAAGATGATATTAGCATAACAGGGATGATCTAATTCCAGGAAACCAGGATATAGAAGCAGTGGAGGTAGAGATGAGAAATGATAAAGACAAGAGTGCACTTGTAGGAGTTGTGTACAGGCTCGGGAACTGTAACCACATAATGTCATACAGTCATACAGCATGGAATACGATCCTTCAGTCCAACTTGTCCATGCTGACCATAAACTAGTCCCATTTGCATAATAAGACAGTGTCTCAAGAAAGAAATAATGGGATGTTGTCAAAAAGTGACAGCATTTATCGGGGGGATTTTAACCTTCTTATACACTGGAAAAATCAGATAGGGAAAAGTAATTTAGAAGAGGAATTCATTTAATGTTTTCAGGACAATTTCTTAGACCAGCATCATATGCCACCAACCAGAGTGTAGGCTATACTAGATATGGTTTCGACTAGGTCCAAGACTAGTATTTTAAATTTAAACAAGGGCACGAAAGCAGCACTGGTGAAAGTGAACTCATAATTTATGTTGAGGAATAAGTCAATCGAGATGCCTGGCAAACATTTAAGGGAATATTCCAGAATGTGCAGAAAATTTTAAGGACAATCTGCCATCCATGATTAACTAAAAAAATGTCAAAGACAGTATCAAACTCAAAGAAAAGTCATAAAATGTGCAAAGGTAGGTGGTAAGTCAGAGAATTGGACAGAATATTTATAAAAACAGAATTATTAAAAGATTAACAAGGAGGGAAAAATTAGTGTACATGTTAGTTAGCCAAGAATATAAATGCAAATAAGAAATGTTTCTTCAGATACTTGAAAAAGAAGAAGTTAACAAAGTTAAATGTTGGTCCTGTAGAAAATTGATAGGCATTAGAAATGGGGGTTAAAGAGATGGAAGATGAACTGACCAGATGATTTGCATTGTTCTTCACTAGAGAGGATGCAAGTAGCATTCCAGAGAAAGCTGTAATTTAGGAATTAGAGGGAGTAATTCAAGAAAATTACAGTTACTGGGGAAGTGGTATTGAGTAAATTGTTGGAACTGCGAGTTGACAAATCCCCATGTCCTGATGGATTTCATCTTAGGGTTTTTAAAAAGTAGTTATTTAGCTAGCTGATGCATTTGTTTTAATTTTCCAAAACTCATTATATATTGAGAAGGTTTCTCTAGATTACAAAACAGTAATGTTGTACAAAAAGAGAAGTAGACAATTGGAAACTACATGTTGGTTAGCTTAACATCTGTCATAGGGAAAATCTCAGAAGGTATTATTAAATATGTTACAACAGGACACTGAGATAAGTTGAATGTAATCAGGCAAATTTTATAGTTTGATCAAAGTCACGTTTAACTAATTTGAATAAGTAACTTGTGCTGTAGAAAACAGGGAGCAGTGGATGTATTGTATTTAGATTACCAGAAGGCATTTAATAAAGTGCCACATCAGAGGTTATTGCGGAAAATAAAAGCTCATGGTGTTAAGGATAACATCCTGACATGGATAGAAGGTTGGCTAGCTAACAGAAGGTAGAGTAGGAATAAATTGGTCTTGTCCAGGCTGGTAGAAAGTCATGAATGGTGCGACA